GTAAACCAACGTGTTACGTGTTAGATAGGTGGAAAGCTCTAGCTAAATAAAAGATAAGTATATGTAAAGTGTCAACTTAATTCAAGTAAACAAAATCCAGAAAATTCTAGGAAAAACTAAACCAATTAAAAGAAACAACTTAACTGAAACTAATTAAGTAGATAAATTACAATTAAAACTTTATTATCGGCAGTCGACATGTCTTAGTTCTAGAGAGTATATAATTATAGGAATTAAATGTTGCAGCTAATGGAGAAGATGAAGATGAGAATAACAATGTGAAACTCTGACAAAAATTAACATTTATTAAAGGAAAGCAGTCGGCATATAGAACAAGTAATAGGTTCTAGTCGAGAGCTCCCGACTAGGGGATACCCTGAAACTCGATCTGCGCGGGAACTATGAGCATCTACATCTAAAATTTCAAGTCTCTAGCTCTTATAGGTTCTGAGATCCTTGCGTTCATACATACGGACGGACGGACGGAAAGACAGACGGACATGGCTAGATCGACTCGGCTATTGATGCTGATCAAGAATATATATACTTTATGGGGTCGGAGATGCTTCCTTCTGCCTGTTACATGCATTTGGATTTTGCACAAATACAATATACCCTTATACCCATTTTTAATGGGTTCAGGGTATAAAAATAAATAAGCTGACAGTCGAATAAAAATTATATGAAGTTCGAACTAATGTCTGCGCTTAAGGTTCGGCTCGAGAACTGGGTTTTCCACAACCAAGGTTGTGGTTCGCGTCTTTGTTTTCTGTCTAACAATGCAAAATGCATAAAGTATATATTTTACATACTTTCTACTTTATTGGTCTTATTATATTCATAAATAGAACAACAGTAATAAAACTTGTTATCTGAAAAATAACTTTAAAAAAAAATACATTTTCTATGAAAACTAAATAAGCCAAGCCATGCGCTTTTCTCCACAATTAAACATCTCTTAAGCAGACGAAAATTACCTGACGACCTTGGTCAAGATACATTTGTTGAAAACGAAATGAAACTTTGAACTCATTTTTTGGCCAATTTAGAGTATTTATCATATGATATTCTATATATATATATATATACTACTGGGTATACTCCGGCCCTGCTCGTGGTACGTAAAAGGGTCAAACCTCGTAGAAATCGGATAAGATTTGACCGATTTGAATAATGTTGCTGGATTTAGATGCCAAATTGATCTAGAGGCCAAACCACGAACAAATAGCCAAGTCTCGTGATGAGATTTGACCGAGTTATGGGCTTGGACCCAGAATGATGCTGTCAGGTTTTGCATTTACGGAACATGTCATAATTGAAAGATTCACATTAAAATAGTAACCAGAAACAAGCATATGGACATCAACTGCTTAGAACAATGAAAATCTGTCAGATTGGCAGGAAAACTCAGAGCTGGCAGAATGCAGGTGTTAGGGCCTTGGTGTAGGATTTCCCGGATAAGGTCCATCATAATGGATGCTGCTGTGCAAAGTGTGCTGCCATGATGTCCGTGTGCTGTAATTTGTAATCAAAACGGGTCTTAAAATGAAATTATCGACCATAGAAGGATTTCAGACGTGGATTTGATTACAAAATACACTCAAGTGGTGACTCCTGCTTCGCTGCACAAAGCGTACGCTGGCGGTGTGCAAGTGTGGTGGGTGTGGTGGGTGTGGTGGGTGTGGTGGGTGTGGCGGGTGTTGTGGGCGGCTGTTGGTTGCTTAATTATCTGAGCGCTAACTTATGCAACAAACACATATGCATAAATTGCTGTCTCCATTTACATAAATACTGCGCTGTGTGTGTGTGTACTATGAGATTTGCTTGCAAAATGAACATCATTATCGAGATACTTGCAACGCACACACAATCAAACACACACACACACACATACTCAGGCACTTAACGGCCATTTCTGACGTTGGTTAATTAGCTACACATACAGTCGCACCTGTGTGTGCGTATGTGTCTTGTTGTGTGTGTGTGAGTCGCACTCGCTTTGTCTCGTAACATAATTGGCCTGTATACAATTGTAATTATAAGCCACTAATAAGATTCGAACACGAAACGATTTTCAAACTGCCATCAGATGGGTATTCCCCATAACCAAAACCCCCACAACCCAGCCGAACCCAAGCCAACTCAAGCTCCAAACTCCGTAACCCCCTTACACTGTCTCACCCTAAGCCCATTCGTTTTGCATCGTCATATCAACAAGTTAATTTTGCATTTTGTGGGCAGTGGGCGTGTGAGCGTGAGCGTGAGCGTAACTCCAAATAGCTTCATATGCTCTGAAGGGGTTGCACGGGTGGGGGCTTGGTCGGATCTGGGTTGGGGCATAGTTGAATAAACGGCAATATGAGCATTTAATGCGATTAAAAGGGCAAAGAGCATATTGGTCGCGTACCTGGTCAAAGTTCATTTCATAATTACAAACACCAAAGTGTTCAATTGCATGTGCGAAAGATGTTGTTGAGTAGCGAAACGGGGCGAAAGGAACTGGAAATTGCAAAGCCTTTATAGTCCATATACCGCAGAGCTAATATATATATCTAATTAGCCTTTTAATTGTTCTTATTAATTGGCTGAATGCTTTATATTTGTATTTGGGATGAGACCTCTTCTTATAATGCCACCCAACTACATGCAAAAGATTTAAATTCCATATGATTTGCTAAGTATCTAACAATGCCATTGCTAACAAAGCCAGGATCTGCACACTGAATTACACAAAGCAGGCTGGTTAGTTCCAGTCAATATTAATACTCGCAATGTTTATTCACAAAATGGTTTTAAATTCTTTAAACTTATATTTACACGCAGAAGGAGCAGCAGTTAAAGGAAGAAATATATCTGCACAGACATACATAAACACATATCTACAAACAACAAGTAAGAGGTTTTAGTCGGGAGCTCCCGACTAGGGGATACCCTGAACCCTCTTCTTCCAACATCAAATGCATATATATATTCTATTTTAGAAGCTATATGTCAAGTTTGGTGACTCTAGCTCTTATTATTTACCAAAATTGCCCAAAAAACAGGATATCGATATCGATTTTTATCAATTGTTTGGGAACGGAGTAAGTTATCGATTATCGGAAACAAACTCGATCTGAGCGGGAGCTAGGAGCACCTACATTTAAAATTTCAAGTCTCTAGCTCTTATAGGTTCTAAGATCCTTGCGTTCATACATAGGGACGGACGGACGGACGGACAGACAGACGGACATGGCTAAATCGACTCGGCTATTGATGCTGATCAAGAATATATATACTTTATGGGGTCGGAGAAGCTTATCAGAGTATAAAAATACATACATACAGACATACACACATACATAAAAGCATACATACATACCCACTCACATACATGCATACATACATAGAACCCAACAAAGATGCACATATACTTACAAACAAGAGGGTTTCTTAGTCTGCCAACTCACTTGTTTTAAACACAACACGTACCACGAAAGCATGAAAGCCTGTGGAACTAACTTGAATTCTTGAGAATCGCATAGCAGGGCATCTGACGTTCTATTATATTTGCAACACAGCTGGTGGACTAAAAAGTAAAGTAAGCCTGGTTTGTGTTTTTATATGAGATAATATACACACACACATACATATACATGCATACATCCATATGAACATGCGTATATATTCATGCTATACACATACGCACACACATGCACATGAATTCACACAGACATCGCTTTTCCATCCATGTTCCGTCTGTTCGTTTCGGAAATCGGTTTCAATGCATTTTCGCATAGATCTTTGAATATTAGCGGAATCTGATGTATAAATGAATATAATAAACTAATTGTTATGGAAAAAATACATATTTTTAATGCTTATCCTTAAAATCCTTAGTGGTATTTAGTAATGTTGTCTTGTTGTTTGTTCCAGCTAACCAATAAGTGGATATCTAATATAAATTTAACATTTTTCATTTGCTTTTTCATTTTCCTTAATCTTTTCCGGACGCAGTTAAGACAGCTACTGCGAGCGAACACTTAAGCAATACAGGGGCCACGGCAATGCGTGCCCCGAGGATTGCAGTGCTCAACTTTGTGTCCAGAGGCGGCGCTTTTGCCACTTGCAATGAAAATGAAAATGGAAATTGACAACTGGGCAGAAAAGCGGGCGAGCAGCGAGCGGCGAGAGCAGCCACCAAGGAAAACGCATTCATATGTGAAATGGAAAAAATTATAATCCAAATAAGAGAATGCAAACGGAACGACAGGCGGCCAGCGCAGGGCGCAGCGACGAGGCAGTAGCAGACCGGGCAGGGTAAGAAGAATCGATGACGGATATGTGTTGATAGTCAAGTCGTCAGAGCTGCCACCCACGCAGCGCCAGCATCCAGATGTTGGTCAGAGATTGGGTTGGTTCGGTCTGGTCTGGACCGTTGGCTACTTCTGTAACCAATTTTTGAAAATTTCTTAAAATTCAATAAATATTTATGAGTTGATAATGCCAAAGCGAAGCTACGCAGCTTCCACAAATACATATACGCGCGCGCGCACACACACAAACACACACACACACACCCGCATACACATGACACACATATGACTGACACGCTTGCTTGGTTGAATTAAATAGATTACGTATACGAGCTGTGGCACAAAAACGGGGGCTGAGGCTACGCACAAAATGCAAACACATTGCCTTGGATAGGATATTTGCCAAAGAGCTGGGTTTTCTACTGCCATGTGTGTGTGTGTGTGTTTGTGTTTGTGTGTATGTGCATCTCAAAGTTACACACGCACACACACACACACATAGCTCAAGTAATGCGCATAATTCAGATATATTTATTACATTTCTTGTTAATCAGGTGAAGGACGCACACTCTGCTCCTCCGACATCGCCTACTTGAAGAACTTAAATTCTTTTGTATATCTCCATCGTTTTTTTTACTTCCCTTAGTAGTCCAGGTCAATTTGGAGCTGAATCAGATTTCGAGCAGTGGCAGCTGCTGCCAAAACTATTTAGTTAGCAATCAAATCTTCAACGGAACACAACAAATTTACCAAATTCGAAAATTGTAATTATGTTTCGCGATATATTTTGGCCAATTATCGTTTTCTTTATTTCTATTATTATAGAATTGAGCAAATAATTTACTCAGCATTTGTTGAACGTTATTCAATTCAGCTTTATCTTTGGTTTCATTTCTTTTTTAATATGTTGTTTCGCCAAACAAATTCTGTGCACGTAAGTATAAATGGCCTTCGTTGATGCCACTAAACCAAACCAATTTTGCAGATCCCGGCTCGAGAGACGGTTTCTAAGTTCACGCTAAACGGGTTAGTCAAATATTAACAATTTTAACTACAATTTAACATTTATATATTCTTTTTTATTCAGCACACTTAACAATTTTACACTTTGATTTTCAACAATGCGAGAAAGCCCTTCTAAGTATAGGGCATCTACAATGATAACCGGACACGGCACTAAGGACAGCTGAACGGGAAGAGCTAAGCCAAAGAATTGGGAGAAATTTTACAGTCACTGACTTAATAGATATCCTACTTAGCTCGCAAAACAATTGGGTTGCAGTAACCCACATGGCTGCAGAAATCATCAAATCCTTGCGTCGCGCTGAAAGACAGCGCAATTCAAGTTCTAACTCTAGATAAGATCCTAGAAGAGGCTTTCATGCCATCTCCCCCTCGTGAGGTAATACTTAGCGGTCGTTCCGCGAGAGGGAAACGGAGAGTAGGTGGTGGTTTTAGTGGGTGAAAGTCCCACACTTTTCGGCTTTAAATGCTTTCCCCCCCATATATATATATATGCATGACAACTCGATTGCCACTCCATATAGGTTACACATGCAGCAGAGAATTTAAACAGCGTGTGGATATATAATTTAAATGTATATAATCTAGGCATATAATCATGATCGAACGTAAATGTGTGTGGGTAACAGATCCCAAATCAATTATTAGTTCTCATTCGATTGCCTTTCACAGTTGAACAATATGTTGAACTTGCTTCTGATGGATTCTGAATTTAAAAACTCGTAAGCACCTAACTATTTGGTTACTCCAATTTTATATTCCCTCTCATTGTAGGACGGTACCTCGCCCAGAGATGGGCGTTGCAGTTTGCGTCGTGAACGCTTAATGAATGCAATCCATCAATTTGTCAAGACGAAGCTCACACATGAGCGTGTCGGTTGTACCGAAAAATGTCGCTTAAATTAAACCTGGATACAGACCACCCCAATAGGTTTTTAGTCGGTAAATTGCAAACACTCGAACTATTTGCATGTCACATCATGATTATAGCTCCGCAACTATATTAGGCTGGTTACAGAGTTTTTGCCGTCAGTTTGAATGTCTTCGAGAAGGAACCTTGCTTACAGTTAATAATGCAAATGAATGGTTTAAACAATTGGATAATACTAAATAAAAAATAACTACGAACCGATTCTTTCTATAAAGCTACATGTACGTTATAGTAGTTCGATGTTGGATAACTTATATATATATAGGGAATTTTAGTGCTTCTCTAAGTTATTCTAAACGAACATTTTTCATACAAGGTCTTAATTTTCCACCGATCAATCATGCCCATGGCAGCTCAGTTTTGGTAGCCTTTATTCGCTAGTTTGCCCTGAACACCTGACTTGAGCTTAGTTGAATGTAGCTTCAAGATGTGATGAGCCTTAGATACCCAGGAGTCGAACTAGCCAGCGAGAGCACGCCAGCTCAACTCTAGCAACTTTTTGCAACAGTAAATAATTTATATTTCTTTTTTTGATTTGATTGTTTTGTTAACTACAATATCATATGCATGTGTTTTTTTGGCAGTCAATTGAGAAGCGTAGCTAAAAATTGTTCCGGCTTAGCTTAAACGCATGCAGAAAGCGTCGCGGCAGAAATGCTAGTACTAGATAATTGAAAATTATTATATTTCTTCTTAGCACGGCGACGCTTAATAAATCTTTTCTTCCGGCATTGCGTCCTTGACTCCGTGAAAAATCTCATCGAATTTTTTTTTTTACCTAGGCAGGCCGAGCAAATTTGAAACTCAACCAGATTTCGAGCAGGGGCAGCTGCTGCCAAAACTTTTTAGTTGGCAATCAAATCTTAAACGGAACACAGCAAATTTACCAAATTTCAACATTTTAATTATGTTTCGTGATATTTTTTGACCAATGGTCGTTTCTTTCCTTCTATTAGAAAATTGACTCAGTATTTGTTGTTCATTATTCAATTGGGTTTTATCTTTAGTTTAATTTCTTTTTTTAATATATTGTTTCGCCAAACAAGTTCAAGTGTGAATGGCCTTTGATGATGCCACTAAACCAAACCAATTTTACAGATCCCGCTGTCGTCCTTGCATTCGCATACACGGGATCGAGAGACGGTTCACGCTAAGTTCACGCTAAACAGGTTAGTCAAATATTAACAATTTCAACTACAATTTAACATTTATATTTTCTTTTTTATTCAGCACACTTAACAATTTTACACTTTGATTTTCAACAATGCGACAAAGCCCTTCCAAGTATAGGGCATCTACAATAATAACCGGACACGGCACAAAGGACACAAACGTCTACTGAATCAAATAATACTATAAAGATAACAAAATATACATAAACGCGATTGCCACTCCATATAGGTTACACATGCAGCACACAATTTAAACAGCTCGAGATCGGTCGGTAAGTAGATGCTGAACATGTGAATATATAATTTAGGCATATAAGCATGATCGAACGTAAATGTGGGTGGGTAACAGATCCCAATTCAATTATTCGTTCTCATTCGATTGTCTTTCACAGTTGAACGTTGTTAAACCTGCTTCTAAATTTCTAGGATTGGTAAATTCGTAAGTGCCTTCCTATTGGGTTATACCCAATTTATATACTCTTTCGTAACAGGACGGTACCTCGTTCAGAGATGGGCGTTGCAGTTAGCGTCGTGTACGCTCAATGAATGCGATCCATAAATGTTTAAAGACGAAGCTCAACACATACTTGATTATCAGTTTAGACGACAAATGTCGCTCATTAAAATTGGAGAAGGACCCTACTAAGTTGTTAGTCGGAAATTGGAAACATTCTTTGTGAAATCGTTATTGTAATTCTCAACTTAGTATTACAGGTTGGTTACAGAGAGCAGACATCGAATTGATATGATTTATTAATAACTATGCCAATAAATTGCCTAATTAATAGGAGAATTCTAAATACATGCATCTCTTCATTATTTACATTGGCTCTGATCATCAGACACCCTCATATTTCCAACGGACTGTATCCTGTAGCTTTTGAAAATAACACACTAACGCTTTCCAGAGTAATTGATCATGCTGGCACCTTTAGAAACGAAAGCTGACGACCTCGCAAGGGCCAGGAAAGGTGCCTCTTTATTTAGCCCAAAGCTCTGAAATCCACGGCGGCATCTAATTTCCACAATGAATCGGATAAGCACTGTTTCGTCGGGAAGCATCCTTCATTTCGGAAGCTTCTGTTGTGAGCGAGCTTGCGCCATCTAGCGTAGCTGAACTAACATCTTTACATACTAGCAAGGCTGTGCGACTTCATACTCACATTCGATTCTATTCCAAATTTACCAAGTTTGGCATCTACGTAGATTAGGTAGGTCGCCCAACAAAGACCAAGACTTTTGGCGCTGGAGAACTCTCCAGTTGGAGAAAGTCTGAATGAACTTGTGTCAATAACAGGCAAATCAAGCGACAATTTTAATGGTAAACCGACAGCAGCTCTATTGGAATATGGTAAAACGCCCTTATGCATTCCCGTCATAGTTTTAGATTTGTTTGCCTCAAGAGCTGCTTCATCTGCGTTCAGGCAATGAATATATCTGCCCTTATAGCTATGGTTTCCTGCACATATATTTTTGCTTTTGCTTTTTTTGTTGTTTTTTTTTATATATATATATATATATTTTTTTTGTCGTGGAAAAGAAATTCATCAAACGAATTATTAGAAAAGTTTTCTAGTTGGCACCGTTATTGCTGGCAGACGCCTTTTCAAACTATGGTTAAGATGAGTGTGGGCAGAGTTTGTAAGGGTGGAAAAGGGAGGGGACGAGGGGGTAGCACCCCCCTAGCAACCAACATGCCGTAGTAGTAGTAGTAGTAGTAACCAGCGAAGCCGCCAATAATGTTGAGCACGTCGAACGCGACGAAACAGATGAACAAACTTTAACAAACAACAAACAAACGAACAAACAAATAAACAGGCTGGCAGGGTTGCCAACTAACTTATTTATAAAAACGAACGACGAACGCAGGCAGCGTAATGAAATTCTGTGCATATTCTGACGTACGCACACTCGCACACACACGCACACACACACACACGCACACACACGCACACTCGCACATACTTTGCCTTTTGTGCATGGCTGTATGTTCGTTTTGTGCGATTGTCTTGTTTGTATCTGTATCTATAGCCTGTATCCGTAGCTGTATCTGTATCTGTAGCCTGCATTTGTATCTGTAATTGTGCTGCTGCTGCTGCTGTTGTGAATAGTTCGTCCTGGCAAAAAGCAGCTGAAGCGCGCGTCGTCGCGTACGTGATGTTCATATTTTCATAGATTCAATAATTTATAAATTTTATGCTTAGAGTCCATGTCTGTGTGATCTCTGCGCTGATTTGGCAGACCTAAAGAGCGTCTTTCTGTGTGTGTGCGTGTGTGCTGTTGCCCTGTCGACAACTTTTATTGAGATTCCTTGAGCACCTTGGAGAGACTTTGACTCGCACCAGCAGCAGCACCTCTCCCCGTGCACCCATCGCCAATAACGTTTAAAACCTACAAGCTTAAAATGTTGACCAGTTTCCAACTGTAGTTCGATTGGTGTGAAACTTCATATGCTTAATTTGTTAGTCGAAAAATTGAGGCAATTTTAGATGAAATTCGACATATAAAAAGTGAAAAGTTTCTATTCTCTAAAATTCTAAAAATTATGTGAGATATTAAAAAAATACATTTAAAAAAAAGGAAAGTGGGGAGATCTTCAGCACACTAAAGATTTAATACCTTTGTAGAAGGTTTGTTGAAATATCTTTGAAAATAGAAGATTTTGCCTTAAAAGATCCTACTATTTCACCGATCTTTCCTATAATATGGTATACGGATCTTGATTAACATCAACATGACTATTTGTCTTGACTGACTGACTGATTGACTGACTGACTGATTGACTCACTGATTGACTGACTGACTGACTGATTGGTGATCAACGCACAGCCCAAACCGTAGGAGCTAGGTAGCAGAAATTTTCACTATAGTTCCCTTATGTGATGAAGGTGCACGCTAAGACAGGTTTTCGGGAAACTCCACCCGAAAGTGTGGAAAAATCGCGAAAAACTTTTGTATGAAGCTTCGCACATTTTGCAAAATCCATCCATCATTGGTATAAATGGGGGTCAAAGATTTGGTGGGTGACGTTTGGCACTCAAATTAATTTCCAAGGATTTGGAAAACTTCACTCGCAACAGTGGTAAATTTGAGGAAAACGTTGCTATGAAAGTTATTTGTTTACCGTCCGCTCAGTTTCAAAATCACTTTCAAAGCTTTTTGAGAACAATTTGATTGATTTTATAACATACGTGCCATGGGCAAGACCGGAACATACCCGCTAGTATGTATTTATTTTTATATACCAATAATTGATGTCAATAAAATGTAAACAAAAATGAGAAAGAAAGAATTTTCCATAAATATGTTTTAGAATTCAAAAAAAAATATCTTATAGTATGAAAAGTGGAGTGTGTGGGAATAAGTTTTTATTTGAATTAATTGAAAAAAGTTTCATTTTCTTGTAGCAGTAAGTTTTTTGTTTTAAATAATTGAAAAACTTTCATGTTTCTGGCAACAAGGCTATTCATCCAGAAAACATGTCCGCTAATGACAGTGTACCAATTTTGTGCTAGAAAAGCATTTTCTACATTTTCAAATAACACAAAAACTTTGAAGAGCAAATAACATTTTCTAATTGAATCAAATGTAAATGGCAAATCGAACAAACAAGAAAAAAAAACATGTCTAAAAATATGATTTAGCTTTGCCCGTGAATTGGGGCTGCCTAAAAAACTGATCTCATTAAGGAAAATATGTTTTATTATAAAAAAAAAAAACACAGCCTAAAAAAAAACACATGTTAGTTTAAAGAGTTTTTAAATACGTTTTGATGGCCGCTTTCGATTAGGTTATAGTCAAAGTAAACTAGGGACAATTTTATGTGAGTGGATTTTCCCCCTGCTCTGGGTGTGCATATGTGTGTGTGTGTGTGTGTGTGTGTGCATGCACAACAACCAGAGGAGCATGTTAAAATAAAACACAACACGCAGAAAACGACTCGTCGACTCGTCGACACTTTCTGTTTTTTAACTCAATTTTCAATAAAAACAGTGCACAAAACTTTTTTTTTCTGTGTTGTTAACTTAATTTCGCTTGGCGCTGCGCAGCTCGCAGCTCGATGCTAAAAGCATTTCATTGTTGTCCAACTCGTTGCTTGGTGTTGTTGTTGTTGTTGCTGCTGCTGCTGCTGCCGCCCAACTAACTGGCAAGTGTGTGGGCGTGGCACCCAAAAACCGAGCAACGGCATTTTACACGCACTGAAAGATTTCACTTACAGCTCGCAGTCAGCGCTCAGCGTCAAGCGGGACGAGCGGCAAGCCAGAGCTGCAAGGGGCGAAAAGAATGACAGAATGGGCGGCGGTCGGTGTTGGGGGAGTGGCTAAAAGTCTACAAAATGCAGTTAGTGTCAAATGTGAGTTAGGAGCAGCAACAGACAGTAGACAACAGATAATAGACACACACACAAGCCACTATCACAAATATATATACACACACACACACACACACACTGCATCGCATCCCAAGTTGAACGCAAATGGCTTAGAAGTTGCCAAACAACTGAGCACAGAGCACAAAAGATTCATGTAGACAGACTCAACTGAACCGGTTCGAATCCAGAGTTCCAATTTATTTCTTACTATGACCCAAGTCCAACGAAATCGAAACCCTTGCCAAGCCATATTTGTTTTCAACCTGACGCAATCGCCTTTGACCAGGAATTTCAATTTAGCCAGACACAAAATACGTAAAAAAAAATATAGAAAAACTTTTGAGGCAGATCGATTGCCCCATAAAAAGGGGCAATTAGAAGGAATATACATAAAATATCATAAAGATAAATATATATTTGTAATTACGCACTCACCTGTTAAATCACACGCACGAATATTTGAGTGGGCGGGAGACTAATTTCTACATAAACACATCACTGAAAGAACAGGAAGCCAGAGAAAATGTTTATTAGCTTAAAAATGCAGATTTCTTGCTAAACCCTAATTGGATTTGTGAGAATCGCGTAGAAGAGCAATATCTATAAATATAACCTATCTCGTTAATTTTCAGCTCAGCGCAACATATACAAATATTCAAATACATGCATGTATTCAAATATATGCAAACAAACATGCATACACATAATAGTCGTGACTGTTATTTTTAATATGATAAGTAATAGCTATGTTTATAATACGAACCAGATTTTCCAATAGACACAGATGACACTGATGCCGCCTCCTCCGTTAAAGTCAGAGCCACCGTCGCCTCGTCCAATATTAAAGGCGTTGTCTTCTCCAAAGTTGAAGCCGCCGTGAAGCCTATGGGACTGAATTGAATTCATGAAAATCTCGCAGAAGAGTTAAGAATAGGTTTTATATAGAGATAAACTTGGTAAATATACAATAAAGACACGAAAGGTGCCATCTTCAACCCCATCAAGAATATACAGTTTTAATCAGTATTAAAAGTCGTAAATTCCCATAAATTCCCTTAAACTCCCTTAAAATTATATTTAAGAAAAATCTTCTTGCTTATCTAGATTCTTTTTGCTTCTACTCGGTTCATATAGCAAAACAAACAAGTATTTAATTAAGTGCAATGTTCGTCTCGCTGACTGTCCGTCTGTCCGTATAAAGTCGAAAATTCGATGGAATCCAGCATTTGGCCAGACTAAAACCAAATCGATATAGTTGTAAAAGCGGTTTGAATTTCGTAAATATGCTGCAAAGCAGATTCAGATAAAAGTTTTTGAATTTAAATTTAAAGTCTGGCGGAAGCTTGTTCGCTTAATAAGTCGTTGTCCGGTATTCTAAATTGATTTCTGTCAAATTGAGCTGTTGGTATGGCACGGATCGTTACAGGCGC